CACCCAACGCAAACTAGGGCTTACCGCGTTTACTTTTCTGCCCCCATCGCCCAATATCATGTGGTTGGCCCCTGTATGCCATGATTTGGTATAATTTGGGAACAAAACGATTGGACTGTTCTAAACAGTGCAGTGAAAAGTATTTTCTGTTTTTCGGAAATAGGAGATTATGCGAGAAAGCAAACTCAGATGATGTCAACTTCTTTCACGTTGTGACTGGCACGACCAAGCCCCGCTTTCGTTGGGGCGTCTTCCAGAATTAATATAGATATTTTTCCATAGAAACTAGCCTTGTTTTCGATGTCTGGTAATAGACGAGCGATTGCGTGGTGTACACAGTTCTTTAACACGTTCCTGCTTTGAATGGGAAAGAGTATTCTTAGTTCTTGTTGTGAAACAGAGTAGAAACAATGAGGGGAACTTGCTATTGTTTCATGTGTTCTGACGACACTGCAATACCGCTTAAGCTTTGCCTAACTACCTTCTCGTTTTCGCTATCATGTGGTAATCGTGTTTATCAAGTGTTACAGTTCGAGGGATTACACTGAAAGCTCATATGTGGTTGTCTTTTTAGGTACAATGCGTAAGTTGTGTCCACTCATGGGGCCGAAGATGTCGGCATTTTGGTACGTTATTTAACGACCTCTTTTATGTTTTCTTGTTCCTAGTCGCTTTTGATATAGAATCATATATTGAAAGTGTTTTTCAGCATGGTGATGTCTGTGTGGGGTGTGATATTCCTAGGCCTGTTGGGAGTATTCTTCTATGTTCAAGCCGTGACGCTTTTCCCTGATCTTCATTTCTCTGAGGAGACCAAAGATGGGCATATTGGACCGTCTGTTGAGTAAGTTCTAATTTCTCTGATTTAATAAAAAAGTGAACTGCCTGATTGCTTTATCCTTCTCGGTTATTCTAGTTTCTACTCAGCCGTCTGTGTTGTTTTGTTTACTGACCTAGGCCATGAAGTGCATCTTTTTTTTCGTCTATAGGTATAGTGTAGTTCGCTGCGGACGGTTGGGCGTGCTCGTGCAGCTGCGCTTGGCGCGGTGCCAAACTCGTTCTACACCAGTTGTTGAAGCGGCAAGTGACA